CGCGATTTAGAAATAATTTCTGTCTTAGCTGAAACACTTTTTGAGTTACAGTTCTGCAACATGTTGACTCTAGTGTTATATCAGCACTTCATGCTGGATTAATAATGAAGTGTTTTTTCATGGTGCCTGTGAGGACAGTGGAAAATGCTTTTTTTGAAAGCTTTTAAGACTCCATCTTTACGAAATCACAAGAATACATTTTTATTATTGGGCCCTTATATTATAGAAGTTGATAAAAACAGCTCTGTATTTAGATTTAAAGGAAAATGTGATGGGTTTACAGTAGGGATGCACGATATTGGGATTTTGGCCGATATCCTGATATTTTAAAACTCGTGTAGCCGATAACCGATATCGATACCGATGTTAAAGCTGGACAAAAATAAGTAGCCATTGAAAATAGCAGTTTTGTTATCCATTTCTGACACTTTGAAAAATAATATACTCAAATATATTTTCATATGCTGATATCAAATTGATTTTAAAAAACGCGGTATCGATCTATTTTACTTTCAAAATCTCGTGAAATTTAATCGTTCTGTTACAAACTCGTGATATTTTGCAAATTCTTGTGAGATTTTGTTAGTAAATTAGATCGATACCGCGTCAATATATCAACATATAAAAATATGGCAACATTTCGTGAATGTTCGGGGGATTTCGTAGCATAACGATGACATATAGCAATATTTCATTAGTAAAAGAGATTGATATGGTGTTTTTAAATGGCAATATATCAGCATAGGAAGATATTGGGATTAGGGCTGCAACTAACGATTATTTTAAAAATCGATGAATCGGACGATTATTTTTTCGATTAATCGATGAATCGGACAAAAAATATTTTTTATATTAACCTCTTTATTCCAAAATAAACATTTTAGACAGAACAAACAAGCACACAAGTACAGGTTGCTCATTAACTGTACTGGTGCAATATGAAAAATAAATGTTTGTGTTAAAACTACGCAAACTTACATGAGAAATGTAGCTGTACATCCACAAAATATAGGGTACTTTGTTTCATAAAGCGCAAAAAAAGACATTTTTGTTTTTAAAAGCCCCTAAGGGGTTCAAACAATAGGCCCCCCATTTCAACAAATGAGTTTTTTTTAGACTAGAAGAGTTCTGCCTTTTAAGACAGGGAAGTATAGCAGTTAAAGTTGCTGCTTGAGAAAATACTGAACCATAGAGATAAAAATAGCCCTGTGATTCAAATTATAAATTGTATTTGGAATAAAAATGAGAGAACTAGGGGTGCTAAAAAACACATCCTCCAAAGACAGATATTTACATGGGAATGTGGCAGATAATTAATTGACATATTACTGATCTTGCTGGATTTTATTCTGCTTTACTTCCATAAATTGCAGGATCTTCTTTACTTTATCTTCGCCAGAAGATTTAAACTTTAAAAGCCTTGCCCTCATAATTTGCAAGTTAATTTATTTATTAAGTAAATGTAAACGCTACTTAAGCTAATTCAAATGAAATTAAAAGTAAAATAAGTAGCCAACCTTATCACTGTCTGTAACCTACTAACACGGTAAGGAAAGCATCAGATGAGCTACCTGAGAAACTAACGTTACGTTTCCCCACTATAAAACCAAACAAACATGGTGGTTCCGTGCCATGTTAATTTCTTTTGAAAAAAGTTGCATTTTATCACTTTTTTCGCTTTACAAAGCGCAGGCTATTTTAATTATTGTGATCAATTTGCGCCGTCAATCCCGGTGCATGCGCGCTTCATTTGCAGTCTGGACGCTGAGGCTCCGACTGCAGCTGAGAGGGACTCCTGCGGGAGCGGGGGGAGGCGCCCCACGGCAGAGTAGGAACGATACATGCTTTCACGTAAGAGTCTCCAAAAGCCGCAAGTGAAAACGAAAAAAGTCGCCAGATTTGTCGCTAGTCGCTTTTTTGAAAAATAGTCACTGGAGGGGTCTGAAAAGTCGCTGAGTTGGCAACACTGCTCCTGCGGCGCTGACTCGCTCTGCCATATTTTTTTTTCTTCCTCTTTCAGTCAAGAGGCAGTGATGACGGCGCGGCGGATGACGCAATAATCGCGCGACACAACTAATCGATGATGAAATTCGTTGCCAACGCTTTTAAAAGTCGATTTTTATCGATTTTATCGATTCGTTGTTGCAGCCCTAATTGGGATATTTTAATGTATCAATATTTTTTCCCTCGTCTTTAGAAGTTTTTAAATCTGTAAAAAAGAAGTTTTTGAGGAAGAAGAAGAAGTAGTATTTTTATTTTATTTTTTAGACTTTAGAAACTCAGAAGCTGATCAAATATCGGGTTAAATATCGGTGGGGTGGCCGATGTCCGATATTCAGTTTTAAGGCCGATACCGATAGGGGGCCGATTATATTGTGCATCACTAGTTTACAGTTGGGGCTGTAGCATCTGAGCATTTTTTCCTAAGGGGTTTTAACCATCTAGTGAACAGCCTGAGTGAGTTTGTAGTTATTTATAATCATGGTTGGAGAGTCCTTGGTGTAGTAAAGTGGTGGTGTGTTCATAATATGAGGTTATTGCTTTCTGGTATGGCTCATATGTAATTGCAGTGGAAAAAATCAATATTGGTTCCTAGAGATTAAATGCAAAAAAAGGGCAATCTTTGATGTTTTAAGCTGAATGTTAAGATCAGCAGAAAACGTGGAAAACTCCCTTTTTCCCTTTTCAAGGAACCTGCAGCACATTTTTTCCCGGTGAGGTTGATGTTTGATCCCTGGACTCCTGATTTGGATTCAATCGGTTGACAGTCAGAAGGTTGGAGTGAAAAACTGCTGCAACACGACTGCTTTTCTCCTCAGGAAGGTCCGGTCAGGCTTTCAGTTTATTTTGATTCTATAGCACTGATTGACAGCATGTCACATCAAGCAGGACAGCTCTGTCCCGGGCCCATAAATATATAAAATAAAGTCCTGATCGATCAATCTCTGGAACCAAGAGAAACATATTTAATCGTTAATTAAGTGAAAAATATTTCATTATTTATTTATTAAGGATAAAAAACTATTTTGATTTAATGCAAGCATCTCAGGTAACATTTAAATGTTAATATATTCAAAATAGAGATTTTTGCATTTTTTATTTAATGAAATATGCTGCATGTTTGGCTTTCCATACCTGCTTTAGTCACATTTGATCCCTTTTATAATGTTCTGGTCAAAATCTTTCTGAAGCAGTTAATGCTGTGCGATAGGATTGTCTATTTATTCACGTCCTCCGCAGCATTGTTCATCATAACTTCATCAACAAAGATGGGGAAGAAACCCTTGACAGAGACTGTGATAAACACAAACATAAATCAGAGCGCTTTAAGCTATGACCAGCCTCTCAGGCTTTTGCAGGGTTGGTTGATCTAAAGTTCTGTTCAATCTAAAGCTGTTCCTGCAACTTGAGGTGGCCTCTTCGGTTGAGATCCGCTGCACCCTTAATGTTAAAGTGATGGAGCTGCTGCCTGACCGATTCAGCCCCCTACATCCACTGTATATACTACGTTTCCTCCTTTGTGCATCTTCTGTTTGTTAATAAGAGCCGATTTCACAAGTGTATTTCTTCATTGCACTGGAAAAACTAGAAATAAGAAAACAATTTCTTTTTTTACCCTTAATTTGAGCAGGTAAATGAGGTGCCAATGAAATGAGTATTTTACTAATAAAATAAGATAATTGGATAATATGCACTTGAAATAAGACAATACAATTGCGTTTTTCTTATTTTGAATGTAAATTGTCTTGTTCTGTTTGAAAAATGTCTCTTTTTTTCCTCCTCAAACCAAGAACAAATGCACTTATTTTAAGAAAAAATGACCTATCTAGATTTGCAAACACTGGAAAAACAATCTAGAAATAGGTTAAAAAAAAGTCTTAAATATATTTACTCTTAATTTAATTGAATATATCCTCAAGGTTGCTTTTTGGTACTTTAATTTTTTGGCTTGAATCTAAAAAGTTATATGTAGAGAATCTGTTTCTCTGCTCCATCATGGAGCTATTTGGATCTGAAGACGCCTAAATCCGTCCTTCACAGTCAAAATACGGAGCCGAGCTATTTTTGGCTCCGGTCCGGCCAGGTCAAGATCCACAATTGCAATCTCACCCAACAGGAAAAAGAACAACGAGAAGATCTGGTTTGTTAAATCAAAATGTAGTAATGATATATTGGTAACTACAAATGAAAGCATAATTCTTATATATTCCCAAAAACTAAGACCGTTCAATTGAATAATTGGATACAGACTATTGGTACTTCACATACCAGGAAGCAGGTTTCTCATGTCAATCAAAATATTTATTTTATACCGAGAGGCTTAAAAGTTTAATCAAATCCAGTCAAAACTTCCAAAAGCGCATCTTACAACTTTAAAACAAACTTGTTATCACAGGCAGAGATGAAGAAATCTTGAGTTTGGAAGCAGAGAACAAACATAGTTCATAGAAACCATGGAAGATCCTGGTATCCCTGTTACAAAAATCCACAACAAAAGGAAAATATTTGGGCAGAAGCTGAACATATGCTGGATGCTGAAATTAAGCGTTCATTTCCGCATGTTTTGCTCCTATGAATTTAATAATGATAACGCTCATGCTCTCCTCGAGCTCCGAGGAACTCAGAGTGCAGCAGGAAGGGAGGAACAGCGGAGGCTGTAGGCTTTTCTCTGTGCAGGAGGTCTGGAGCTAAGCGCTTACAGAGGATGTGGGATTCTGCTATTCCCATTGGTGCAAAACCTTGTCATGTCAATGTTTGTATCACAAACAAAAGTAAATATTTATCTATTTTGGACCTGTCAAAATTTATAAAATATTTTTGTTTTCATTATAAGTTTTTAATCTGGGCCACTGTGGATGTTGGTGAACAAATTGTTTCTATGGAAAAAAGTAGCTATGACCTTTATTTTCATAAAGGTTAGATTTTTTTAATCTCTGATGGTTTCTTACTTGCCTACAACATATTTGGATAATAATCACTTTTTTTTTTCATTTTAACAGATGCTGTGAACGGAGAGAAGATGAAAATCCTCAAGAAGGACAAGCAGCAGGTTTGTACTTTCACCAAACATGAACCGAGACGTGTTGAACTGCATTTAACCTTCATCTTAAAGGAAAAGTCCGGTCAGCAAGGAATAACCATGGATCATTATTTATACCTAAAACTAATATGTTCGTGGTGATTTAATAAATTTAGCATTAATCAGTGAAAAAATAAAAACAATAAAGTCTGGGAGCGGCCATTTTTGCCCAAATATAGTAACCCCTCCCTCCTGCCATCTTCCGGCAGTGACGTCACGGTGCGGTAAGCCTAGCGCCATTCTCCCGGCTTTACAAGCTAAATCAATGGGAACTACTAGACACATCTGCAATCAACAACAATTATTGAAGATTTCCAGAGGACTTCACCATTGAAATTCACCAGAGCTATAGTGAAACTGACAATGCCCACGTGCATGGCAGCTGGATGTTGGAATACATAGAGTAAAAGTAGAAAAAAAGAGTTGTTTCACCTTTCCGATTCCTGATCCTCCACGGACGGGTTCATCGTTGGATTGCTAGCTTAAAAAGAGGATTTACCATCGAACGTCTGGCCAGAAAAAAAACAACGTAATATGTAGCCAACATTTGGAAGAAGAATGTTTTCAAGATGACTTGGATAATAGTGCGTTGTGACAAACACCAGATACAGCACTGGGACTTGATCAAAGCAATTCTATTCAGTTTATTTCTATAGCGCCAATTCACAACAATGTCATCTCAAGGCACTTTACAGTTCACCAGATAATCCAGTCAAACTGATTCAAAGTTTTTCGATTGCCTTCGACTCATTGACTCGAAGGCAATCCCTCACACTAAGCATGCTTGTAGCAACAGTGGAGAGGAAAAACTCCCTTTTAACAGGAAGAAACCTCCAGCAGAACCAGGCTCAGTGTGAGCGGCCATCTGCTGAGGCTGACAGAAACAGAGATACTAAAAGGCGGCCCCATCCACACCACGGTGCGGCTTCAACAGCCGATACCGCACCGTGACGTCACAAACCAGTAGGTGACAGTAGTGTTCTGTGACAAACATGGATGCCTCCAGTAAAGAACATTCAAATGAAAATTACTCTTAATTAAAAACACTTATAATTTATTGAACAGTATGTAATAATTTCATATTTAAAGTACTTTCAGAAGTTTGAATTCTGAATATGACCGGGCTTCTCCTTTAATGTTAGATATCTGGTACATTTCCAGCATTTCCACATCATTGCTCAGTTGTGAATTCCATGTTTTCTTTTGGTTTGTCTGCTTGTTTTGCTGCTTCACTCTTGCTGTTTTTCTGTGGATATGTTTGATGTTCAGCTCAGATTTGGATGATACTTGTTTGCTATCATGAGTCAGTGTGAAACTAAAGGATGACTCAACGTTTTTAGTGGGTATCCTGGAGGTGTCGTTACGCCGTCATATCAGTCAATCTGGTTCACAGGACTAAATAAATCTATTAATAATTATTTTCAGAGATCTGAGGAGGTTATGATGTGTGTGGCAGCTCAGGATTGTGCATCATTGTAGAAAATATATTTTAATAATGGACAAAGTGAAGAATCTGAAGATGGTGAGAAAAAAGATTAGTCAAAAACTAGTGCACCAGTTTTAGGTTTCAGACAATAGTTACTTTTTTTAATTACACAATACACCTTCTATATACAGGTAAAAGCCAGTAAATTAGAATATTTTGAAAAACTTGATTTATTTCATTTCATTTATTTCATGCATTCAAAAGGTGTAACTTGTACATTCATATATGGTATCGTATATCAATGTTATCTTTCCGAACTTACTGAGGAAGATAAGATCAATGGATAAAATTGGTTTCACAGCTAAGTATTGATTAGATAATACTGTAAAATTAAGGGAATTGAGTCTGATTAATCGCTGCACAACTGGTGAAACATGACACCTGTTTGAACTTTTGTTCTGTGTAAAAGACACCTTTCCGCAGCCTCAAACAGACCAAAGAGCTGCTGAACCAGGCATGGGAGAGGGAATCTACAAGACAGAAGCGGGTGCATGTAAATAACTCAAAGTTAAAAAATGGAAGACATACAAGACTATTAATGATCTCCCTCCACACGGATCTTGTGTGGTCGAAAAGATCATGAGAAAAACGAACAAAAATCCCAGAACTCCGAAGGCTACATCACTAAAGCGCTACGCTTAGAGGAACTCGCATCCTGCAGGGGCAGGTGAGGCCGCCTGCTTAAGACAGAACCTGTCCAGGCCTGTCTGAATTTTGCCTGTGAGCTAATGGATAATCCAGAGGAGGACTGGAAGGATACCACGTGGTAAATGAGGCCAAAAAATAACTTTCTGACATGGACAAAGTGACGAAGAAAGCCGAGTTGCGTCCCAAGAAGCACAGTAGTGGAAACATCATGCTCTGTGATGTTTTTTTTCTGCCAAGGCAGAAAGATGTTTAATACGTGTTAAGGAAAGATGAACAAGGCCATGCATGGGGAGATTTTAAGCCCAAACCTCCTTCAATCAGTGAGAGCATTCAAGATAGAAAGTGGCTGGGTCTTCCAGCATGAACATGATCCAAAACATTGCCAATAGAGTAGCTCCTTCAAAAGCTTCCCAAGGTACTGGAGTAGCCTTGCAAATCTCCAGACCATAGAGAATAAGTGGAGCGAGTTGAAAGTTGGCGTTGCCCAGACACAGCCCCAAAACGGTACTGCTCCAGGGGAGATCTGATGGAGTAATGGGACAAAGTATCAGACTGACTGGAAGTGTTTGACGTTTGTCATTGGCAACAGAAATTTTTTAAAATTATTATTTCAAGCTTGAATATATGAAAATGATATTTTCATTGACCTGACACCACATGTACAGCAGGGGTTGGTAATCACCTGTTGTTAGTAACCAGAGACGAAGAAGAAGTGTAAACACGGTGGCTAGGCTAATGCTTAGCAGATCACAAGCTATTTACTTCAAACTGTAATACTGACAATATGCTGCCTTTTTCATAAATTATAGCTACATTGTCAAAGCAAACACAACGACAAGATATGGTGGTATGTAGGGATGGAAATGAAAAACCGGTTCTTGTTCAGAACCGGTTCTTTGTGTTCTAATTCCATGGCACCGTTTGGCAGCTCAATTAACGGTTCTTTTAACGGTTCCAGGCAGCACCAGAGCCTAGTGATGGGCAGCACCACCTACGTAACTTGTTCTTTTTCTATGCAAGATACGTGAAGTTTTTACGCTAGCTATGTGACATTTTTTACGCAAGTTACACACATGGCATTCAGAAAGCAAGGACGTGGGCGTAAGTCTAGAAAAGCAAAACAATAAAATGTTTATAATAACAGAGGAAGTAAAGAACATTGCCAGACGCTCACATCCGGTGTGCGCTACGCTCACAGAGTAACAGCTGTAAATTGGCCAAAGTGAGAAGGTTTGCCCCTTTGCTTAAAAAAATCTGGATATTCTTTAATAAGAAGTGCATTTGGTTCTTTTGTTTGCTTTTCTTGTTTTTTAGTTTAATAATACTAATCTCTCTGAGGTGGTAATGTTCTGGTGTTGTTGACAAAAACTGTACTTAATTCTGTTGCTGTACATTTTTAAATTGGCATATTTTATTTAATTAGTTAAATGAAATAAGTTAATTAATAAGAAAATATGTTTTCCTCATGCTGTAACTCTATGATACCTGCATTTTGTTCATATATAGGCTATCCTTACTGGCACCCGTGAAATAATATAGTTTTTTTCTCTCAACATGTATAAATATATGCAGGGGTGGATTTAGGAAATTTGGGGCCCTAGGCAAAGACAGGCAGGGGGCCCTCTGAACTCAGAAGACAACACATAAAACACACCCATTCTACAGATAGAGAAATGTTAATAGAATAGACATACATTATCTGTTCTAGGTTGTGTCCCTCTCTTCTTGTCCCTTTTCTTCTGGTTTTCCTCTCTGTTTTATACTCAGCTGACTTTTCATGCTGTCTCAAAAGGAATGAAAGATTTTTTTCAATCACTAAACTCACTTAGCTGTTTGCTTCTTCTTGTGTTTCCAAAAAGGCAAAAGTAAATAACACAGTCCTTCTTTTCACTGCAGACAAGCCATGATCTGCTCATCTGTTCTCCATTTTTCATTTGAATGAAATAATAGCTGCATGAATCATGACAGCAGACAAGATAGAGGAGAGCAGGAGGCGGGGTTACCAATCTACTTGCTCTGGAGAGCAGAGTTCGCTGCTTTTAAATGTTGTTGCCAAAGTCTCCAGTAGCAGAAAAAGTCGCTACATTTGATACTAGGCGCTGAAAATTGGCTAAATATAGCAACATAAGTGGCAACACTGCTCTTCACACCGTTTGTTTTCAAATGGTTTGCTGCTATCTGTTTGGACCTTTCTGAACATGTGCAGCAAATGGACTGATCCAATATGGACACTGAAGGGGGAGGGGGGGGGGGGGCTGAGACACACCTAATATTATCAGCGTTCTGATGGCATTTTAGCGAAAGGATTTTTATCAAAAACATAATTACTGTACTCAAATAAGGAATAGTCGTATTAACTATGCATGTAAACACAGTTTTATGGGGCCCCCATGAGCTTGAGGCCCTAGGCAACTGCCTAGTATTGCCTAATGGTACATCCCCCCCTGCATGTACGTTTAATGTACCGGACCCGGTCCAGGACTCCGATTCCCGTCTCTCCAAAGGAGCTCTTCTTCTCTTCTTGTAGGAAAGAAGGATAGAAATGACGTCGTGACTTGGTTTGATTCTGCGGAGGCTTGTTGATGCTACAGAAAGCTTGTTGGGAATGGAAACATGTCGAAGCATGTTCATTTGGTGGAGTTTTCTCTTTGTAGTCTGAAGGGTCTGCTCTCTTATGCAGAACTTCAGCTTATCTTTGTTAAAGCAGAACAATCAGCAGCAGCGACAGATGTGTTCAATAAAAAAGGCAGAAGATATTCAGACATGTTCATTTCCCCTCTGTTAGCCTTAAATGTCCTTCATATCACAGAGTGGAGGTAATTACTGAAGTGACCTG